TAACATTCTGTGATTCTGTGATATGTCTCATGGTGCTGTCTATGGCCCTGGGTTCTGCCCACCACGCTCTCCCTTCACACGGCCAGCTGGCATAATTTGGACCAGTATCAGAAGCCCAGGGCATCCTGCTCGTGTCAGCTGAGTTTGAAGGCCTTCTCTCTGCAGTTTATCCAGCCCCCTGGAACACCACCCACCGAGGTCCTGCAGTTCGTGCTGCCACCCTCTGCCCTGCCTTGGCTACATGCGGTGGCCTACTACCTGCGCCAGAACCTGCTCATCTTCCTGCACACCCCAAAGTACACCGACAGCAACGTGGAGCACCACTTCAAGGTGAGCTGGATGGCAGTCTGCCCAGCTTCTACCTGCTGCTGGGGGCATTTGTTGGCACAGCTCGACCACCGTGTTCCCAGCTCTGCCATGTAGCATTAGCGAGGAGCTGACACTGAAGATTGGAGCCTGGAGGAGTCTCAGAGGACTGTGAGCGGTTCCTGTTTGGCCTGGGCAGGCCTTGCTTTTGCACAAGCAGTCACTTGCTATGCAAAAACCAGCAACCACAAAGTTCATGCCCAGCAGCAGGGGAGAAGATCCCCTTGGAAAGCTGAGCTTGGCTTGTTGCACAGCTCCCTCAGATCTAAGGACTGAAACATCAGGATTCATTAAAGTTTGAGAGCAGCTACCCACCCCCTCGGCATGGCCAGAGCAAGGATGGAGGGTGAGACCAGATGTGTAGTGCTATGTAATTCTGTATAGAGCTGTAGGGAGTTCCTTCAGCCCAACAGTGGTGAAAGCTGTGCTGGCACATGTTTCAAATAAGTCTGTATTGCCTGCCACAGGTCTGGGGATGAGCTCTGCACACACATGGGCCTCTGTTTCCACTTAAGGCAAATTCTCTAATCTCTGTCTCTGTTCTTCCTTGCTCTCCTTAGCACTACTTCAACCACAGCGGGAGCGTCCCTGACCAGGATCTTTATCTGTACAACAAGCCAGGCGGCCAAGGCACTGGTGGAAAAGGTATTGTGCTCAACTCTTTTCTGAAATAGCATGGAGCTGTCTGCTGAGGAGCTGTTTCCCATATTGGAGAGCTCTGAGTGACTGAGGAGGGCCAGTGCTGGGCTAGTGTGTTCTTCCGATGGCTGGGAGGTGGGCAGGGTGTGTGCATCGGGCACTGCACACCCTTGCACTTGTGGTGGAGCAAGCTAAGGCCTTTTTGCTTAGCTTGCTTGTTGCTGAGCTTGGCCTGTTGCTGTAGGAAGCAGCTCTAGGTTGCAGGAGCTGTGAGGCAAGACATAGGAAGACCTCTGTAAGCGTGGGGCCCAGAGGCTCCGCGGGGCTGGAGGGGTGGGAGCAGTAACGGTTGGTTGTTGCAGAGGGGTAGCTGGATGCTGTGTACAACTAAGCATGGCCTGTGGAGCCAATATCCTTCTCTTCTCTCTGGACTGCTGGAGGAGGGATTGGGTAGGGCCCATCCTGCAACAGGCTGTCATGTCATGTTTTGCCTGGGCCATGTGGCCTGTCACCAAGCCATCATGTGTCTGGTGCCCTGTCTGAATGTTCTTCTGTTATGTAGGTACCATGTTGGACCTTGTGCAGCACCTCTTTCCACTCTCCCACTTCCAAGGTAGCACCTGATGCTCCAACTGTTACTCCAGTTCCCTTTCCCATGCAGCTCCCTGGCCATGGTGGTCCCTGCTGTTCTTGTTTTCCTTGTGTTGTGGCTTCAGTGCTGACTCCTCTGTGTGTTTGTGGGTGTGTGTCCGTTTAGCTGAGCCCCCTCCTTCTCGCTGGCTGGATGAATGAGCAAACAGAACCTGCTGCCCTGAGATGGCAGCTCTGCAGTCCCAGGCTGCTGAGGGTCCGTGTGCTGCCCTGTTAGCTTGCGAGCAGTGAATTCCAAAATCCTGCACCCTTTTCCCCACCGGTCCAAACAGGCATCTCCTCCCTGAGGAAGACAGGACTCTTGATGTTTTGGCTGAGGATTCTTCACGCTCCAGGGTGCAGCAGCGTCGCTGTCCCAGTGGCTGTGTCCTGGGATGGGGGGTTCCTCTGCATGCCAGGGAGCTGGAGTGGCCAGGCTCCGCTAGATGAGTGCTTCATATGTCAGTGAGCCTGAGTCAGGGGTCTCAGACTCCCTCTCAAGTGGGAGGTGACAGCTCCCTAGCACCCTTCCTGTCCGTGCAGCGTGGTGGACATCTGTGTAGCCTAGCTCTAGGGCACCAGGCAGCAAGATCCTCTGGTACCTCTTGCTAACTTACCTCTTTCCACAGCTCAGTCTTGAATTTCTTACCTGTGATTTAGTGGTTGCCTTTCAGCTTCTCTGTGCTCCTGTAACAGGACAGGGAGCCCTGTGCCCTACAGCAGGGAGGCAAGCCCCCCCTTCTGCTGGGGGGCCGGGGGCAGCCATCATGTCCACCCCGCGCGATCAAGCTGCCTGCAGGGTGCCAAGTGCTCAGCACTTGCTTGGCAAAGCGGCTGTGTCTTGGGGAGCACCTGCAAATGAGGAGTCTGCTCCTGTGGCTGCTGACCTGGCCTGCTGGGAAGCACTGCTGTGTGTGCTCCCTTTTATGAGCGTGTCCTGGCATGAGGAGGATGTGGGACATTGTGCTTGGTTGTTCTCATGTCCTCACCTCATACTGAAGCAGAGAAGAGCTACAGGAACAAAAGGGATAGAGGAACGTGCCAGAGAGCAGGGAGGCTGACTTGGTGTGGTAACTTATCCAGGAGGAGAAGAAGGGGGTGGCTACATCTTGGTCTACAATTACAGCAGGAGCATCAACTGTCATTTTGGTGGGCCTGGGGCTGACTGTCAAGCTAGACAAATAAAGAGTTTGTGCCCTTTACTGTTTAAAGCAAGAAAAGTCTGATTGGTAGAGGTTGTATTTGCTGTCATGAGGGGGAGATTGGCTGCTCTCAATACCTCTGTATTGACACCCACATGCCAGAGAGTTGCAGCAAGAGGCTGTGGGTGGGAGAGCCCCTGTGTGAGGCTTCCTGCCCTGCTCTGACAGGGGATGAGGCTGGGTAGAGTCCTGATGTCCTCTGCCTTTCGTATTTAGGAAATTATGAACTTCTCCATTGTTCGCTGGATAAAGGGTTGTTCCTGTGTGTTTCTGGGGGAGAGACATGTTGGAGGCTGTTGCAGAGCACCTCTGAGACAAGGCACTTTTCTGCAAGTGGAGTGGTGCTCATAAGGGTAGCGTTTCCTTTCCTCAGTGTGAGTGCAAGTGAGCTCCCCTCTGACTTGAATGGCCACCTCTCTCCTTTGGGAGCAACTCTCTCCATCCCAGTGCCCTCCCCCGTTGTATCTGGCATGTCTTGGAGGAAAGGTTGCTGCAGAACTTAGGCTTCATTAGGAATGATGGAGACTAGGTGGTTGTGCTGCTGATGAGACCTGGACACAGCCTGCTGGGGCTGGACTTGTCTCAGCACAGGGAGGGCATCCATCCTCCACGCAGTGCTGGGGATCCAGTGAGATGCGGTTTGATTGTACTGTGGCAGTGGGGTCTGGTGTCTCCCATCCTCCTGGCTATGGAGAGGGACAGAGTATGGGTTCAGCAATGCTGTGGGGCTGAGGTTCTTTGCACCTGGGCACATCAGACTTCGGCAGCATTGGGGCAGCTTTGCCATCCAGTCGCTTGAATGCTGGCTTAGTCAAGGGGCTTTGAAAGGGAGTGGGAGCATGTATGGTTGCAGCTGTGAGATCCAAACCCCACGCTGTATCTGTGCTGCGGCTTCCCCAGCGCCCTGGCTATTAATCTGGGCCATAGGGATTGAGCTCTTGTGTCTGCTCTGGGCTGTAGCAGGGCTTCTCCTCCATGGCCCTGGGCACACAGCATGTGGGCTAGAAGCAAGCCCCACACTGCTGCTCTGCATCTCTGAACTGTCTCGTGTGTGCACAGGGCTCAGCACAGAGAGACTGCAGGCTGGGTCTGAATTTTACTCTGCAGCAACTCCAGGCTAATACTAGGTGTCACCCTGTTTTGTCCCCAGTCCTACTGGTTGGAGTGCATGGGGATGATACCTGCACAGTGAGGAGAGGGCTGTGAGTGCAACAAGGTGTCATGTGTGCAGTCTTTCTCTGCAGGGGCTCGAGCTCCTTCATGGACTGGAGAGAGCTGCTGGAGAGTATCTGGGCTTTGTGCTCTGTCCCTTAAGAGGATGGAGATGGTGAGCCCCATCCTGGACCTCTCTGCATAGAGGCCCTCCTGGGGCAAAGGGACATACTTTCCTCTTTCATATGGGGCCGCACAACCCAGGAAGCTCAGGCAGGGCAAGGTGAAGGCTGCTGTGACTCCACAGCAGGGAGATTCTCGGCACGATGGGGACGCCCTGTGCCAAGCACCATGCTGCTTACCCTGGCTCCCCACAGGCACAGCTACTCTCTGCTCCCCTGGCTGCATACCCTGCTGCCGACCCTGCCTGACACGTGGCACTGTGCAACCCAAGTGGTGACACGCCGGTCCCAGGAGCGGGGCGGCAGGCTGCAGGCAGGGCTGGTAGGGGTGTGCCCGTGCTGGGCTGACAGAGGCTGTCCCGGGCTCTGCCCCGCAGGCATTGCGTGCATTGCGCTGACCTTTGTGGATGAGCACGGCAGCCCCGCCTCGCTGCCCCATGGGGAGAGGCCCGACCCTCTGAAGACACCTTCCTCCCTGCCTGTCACGGGCCTGCTGCAGGACACCGACTTCGAAAGCCTCACCGCGGTCAGCAGGCACCCGGCAGAGGCAGGCACGCTGCCTTCAGGTAGGGGAGAATGGGCC